AGATGAACATGTTACATACACAATAAGGTGAACATGTTACGTAATAAAATGAACATGTTATAGAATAAGATGAACATGTTACATAATAAAATGAACATGTTATAGAATAAGATGAACATGTTACATAACATACACAATAAGGTGAACATTTTATAAAATAAGATGAATATGTATTTCAATCTGCAATCTGTAACATGTTCATCATATTTGAAAACATATTCATTTTATTATGTAACATGTTCATTATATGTCAGTATAATAAAATATTTACGAAAAAAGGAAAAATTAGTTGTGTTCAAAGACCTATCAAATGTGGTCTCTATTTATATATAATGAAAAACTATGTATTTTGGTATTTTTATTTTATTTTTTTAATATAAATAATTAATGATATTTTAATTTATGTAATATGTCTCATTTTTCAATTAAAAAAGGGAAAAATAGGAATGTGCACTACACTCTCCAAATTTTCTCGTTTTTGGGGTGAGGGAGGCGCGTGCAAAACTGCTCTGGCACACCTAGCTAGGTGTGCCAGGACACACGGTAGTGCTACTGAACATAACATGCACGTTTGCCAGTCGTTGATTCTTTTCATTGAAATAATTTGGGTGATATATGCGACGTTATTTGCTTGATTTTGTGATTTTTTGCACCAATGACATGATGATGACGTTTAGCTCCTTGAAGCTGGTCGAGACCGAGGTTTGCCTCTCTCTCCCCTCTTTTAGCGACTTTTTGGGTTTAGTGGTTCGGATTGGACAGCGGGTTAGTCGTGGGCCGTTGGTGGCTGATATTCGTTGGGTGGTTTGGGGTTTGTGGTGGTTGGGTGCTTAGTCGGTCGGGCATGAGGGTTCATTCGGTGGGAGGGATATAGGTGGTCGACCTCCGGTTACAGACGTTTGGGAGATGATTTGGTTCTCTAACGTCGTTCCAGTAGATGTGGCTACACTGGAATTTTTTAGAGCAGTGCTCGAGATGTAGCCCTATCTGAGTGGACGATTGTCTTTGGGTGTCGGGTCGTGGTGTCTTGCGATTTGTTCTTTTGTGGAGAGGAGGGTGTTATTTTAGTCAATTGTTATAGTGTTGTGTTGTGTTTATTTTTCTTGTTTTGTTCTCCTCTCGTATGAGCAAGATTCTCCCTTTTTGGAAGTTTCAGTTTATTTGTTATGTGTGTTTTTGTGGGTGCGTTGATTAGTCTCTCTAAGCTCTTATCGTCGGCCATTTCCTGCTAGATTCAGTTTGATAGTTGTTTGACTTATTGTACATGACTAATTGTGTATGTGTTTCTCTTATCTATAAATTTCTGTCGTTTCGACAAAAAAAATGGTGTTAATTAGGGTTTATTGCAATCAGAGGCAGACACACAGGGGGGTCACCAAGGGCACGTGCCCCTGTGTGATTTGAGAACTTAATATATATATATATATATATATATATTTTTTTTTTAATTATGTTAATTTTTCTTGTGGCCCCCACTACAGTTTTAAAAGTCAAATTATGTTCTCTCACTCAGCAAAAAGGTGTGACATGTGTATATGTATATTTTAATTATGTTAATTTTTTTTGTGGGGCCCCCACTACAACTCTACAACTACAACCAAAGTTTTTATTTTTTACTCCCAGATAAAAAGTCGTCACTATGTCCATCATCATACTTTCATTTTTTTCTTTTACTCTCTTGCAAAACTACAAAATTTAGGGGCGATTATATGAAAAAATAAATAATTTTTTTTTTCAATAATCGAAGTGGTTTGAAAATGATGTAATTATTGAACGCTATCAGAATATGAGAACACGTAGAGAACAAGTGAAATGTAACGTTTGTCATTTATTTTTTTTTGGTTCTTTTATGTATTATATTGTGCCCCTACTTTCCAATGTCTGCGTCCGCCCCTACTTGCAATTAAAATTAAACATTTTTATTTCTACAAATAAATATCAAACGTTATTATGTGTTGCAAATTTGTCAAAACCATTTTTCGGCCAAACTTTGATGATGTGTCCGATTAGAAATCTTATGTGGCACTGATGAGGTTTGTGTAGCACTCAACCTTTTAAACTCAAAGAACCCCCCCCCCCAATCTAAGATTTCTAAATTTGAACCACTTTGAAACCCTAAAAATGTAAAATAAAATTAAAACTTACCCGTTCTCCATTGATTGAAGTCACAAAATTGTCAAGCCTCTCGTTTCTATGTTTCAAATAACACTAAAATCGCCTAAAAATCACCCAAAAATCGCCCCATGTGCCTAATTTTTCAGAATTTGGGGGTGAGCTCGTAAATGTATTCGAAACATTGGGGGTGAACTCGCTTATGGGGGGGTGAAGAATTGTGCCATGGAGAAGAGAAGAATCGCTGCATTTTTTTTTTTCAATTGGGGGAGAGAACTCTATTTTCATGAAGGTTATGGAGCAAAAACATGGTGATAAAATCTTATTTTTTCAATTGGTACTAAACTCCATTTTTTGTTAATTTGTTGGCATATGATGTGGCAAAGACATGGTGAAGAGTTTAAAAGGTTGAGTGTCCCGTAAGGTTTCTGATTGGACACGTCAACAATGATTGTGCGGACAATTATTTTGATACAAATTTGCAACACATAATAAGTGTCTGATATTTATTTGTAAAGATAAAAAGGTTGAGTTTTATTTGCAACTACACAATGGGTTAGAATTTTATGTGCAATTAAGCTTATTTTTTAACAAGATCAGATATGTATAACCAAACAAATAAACAAAAGGAGCAATGCAATCATGATTATAAACTCATACTAAAACCCAAAATTTATAACAAAAATCAAATGGTAAGACAAAATGCTTTGGTCCCTATAAAAAGTGAAAACCAATAAAGTACAGAACCAAATACGACCATGGTTGTTAGAGCTCATTTACAAAGCTAACATGTAAATATCAATAGTATGTTATAAAACCTGTCACAAATCCTGATTTTCTAATAATGGTCGGAGCTAGAAAATCCAGTCCCCCAGCGGGGCCATAGGGTACTAAATCACATACGTAACAGTGACATTGAAGAAAGTTTCATATATATAATAGAATATATAATGATATCATATTATCATGCGTCGTTCTGCGATTTAGAAATTTATTTGTTCGATTGAAACCACAAGGGTGCTTGTCTTAATCATGCTTAGAAGAAAAGTAGTGCCCAGTTGTAGCAAATAGATATTTCGCACAAAGACGTCGTAGGTGAGGGAAGTCTCTACATGCAACCTACAAAACATAGAGCAAACAAACAATAGTTTGGTTTAACTTTTAATAAAAAAGCTACAAAAGATTGAGCCAGAAACGGCATCAAATATCCATTAATGAGTGATAGTTTTGTGATGGCATATATAAATACCATTCTATGGTCATGTTAACAAGTAAACAACGCCCATAGACTATAATAAACATTTGTGGTAAAACTAATCTTTCTTTTTTTTTTTTTTTTCTCTCTCT